TTCATACACACCTACTACCAGCTCAGGCACATGCACATCCAAACCAGCCTAGACACATGCATACTTATCACCAATTCAAGCACATACACTATACACCCCAAAAGTTAGACACAGATCAATAATTCGTATATCATGCACACAATGCCATATATATATATGGCATATACAAACACACACTCACACACACACACACACACAATGTATACACACACACACACACACACTCACACTAGCAACTCAGATACACACACGTTCAAAATAACCAGTTTAGGTTCAAACCTATCACCAGTTTAAACCCATACACACTACACAAACCACATTTAGACAGAATCAGTTACCAGTTACCAACACCTGCACATCTAATACACATATGTGGATTAGTAATTCATATACCACACACACACACACACACAATGATAGCTATATATGTGTGTATATATGTGTATTTACTAATTCACACACATACCACCCACCTACACATACACACAGGTGAGTTCCTAAGTTGGGTGTTGTGATGTGTATGTATGCATGTGCTTGGTGTACTCGGGATACCTGGAGAAAGGTTAAGGTAAGAAAGTAGAAGTGTAAGGAGTTAAAGTTACCAGGACCGGGATTAGAACTAGTAGACTGCAGGGGCCTGGGCTGAAGAACTGAGGCTTGGGGGTAACTTTAGGTTAATTGATCTTAATTGATTAAAAGACAATGCCCAAAGCCTGCAGAACAGGGAAGCATGCCGGCACACAGTCTGGGACTGGAGCCAGAACTATGGGGCAGGTGAAAAGGTAGGTGCTGGAGAGGGAAAGTGAGACTAAGGGAAAGTGTGGGTGTTAAAGAGGGGCTCCGGGTGTGGAGGAAGGCTCCAGGGCACCTGGAGAAGTCTAGGAAGCTGTGGGTGAGGGGGGGAAGCCTGAAAACAGAGAGATGGACAGCAGAAAATCACAGAAAAAAGCAGCAGGAGAGACTGAAAGGCAGCAGGGGCAGCAGGAAAGCAGAGAAAGGCAGCAGAAAGTCACAGGGAAAAGGCAGTAGGAGCGTGGGAAGCAGGGGGACAGCAGAAAATAACAGGGAAAGGGACAAAAGAAACTGAGAGACAGCAGGGGCAGCAGGAAAGCAGAGAAAGGCAGCAGAAAGTCACAGGGAAAAGGCAGTAGGAGCGTGGGAAGCAGGGGGACAGCAGAAAATAACAGGGAAAGGGACAAAAGAAACTGAGAGACAGCAGGGGCAGCAGGAAAGCAGAGAAAGGCAGCAGAAAGTCACAGGGAAAAGGCAGTAGGAGCGTGGGAAGCAGGGGGACAGCAGAAAATAACAGGGAAAGGGACAAAAGAAACTGAGAGACAGCAGGGGCAGCAGGAAAGCAGAGAAAGGCAGCAGAAAGTCACAGGGAAAAGGCAGTAGGAGCGTGGGAAGCAGGGGGACAGCAGAAAATAACAGGGAAAGGGACAAAAGAAACTGAGAGACAGCAGGGGCAGCAGGAAAGCAGAGAAAGGCAGCAGAAAGTCACAGGGAAAAGGCAGTAGGAGCGTGGGAAGCAGGGGGACAGCAGAAAATAACAGGGAAAGGGACAAAAGAAACTGAGAGACAGCAGGGGCAGCAGGAAAGCAGAGAAAGGCAGCAGAAAGTCACAGGGAAAAGGCAGTAGGAGCGTGGGAAGCAGGGGGACAGCAGAAAATAACAGGGAAAGGGACAAAAGAAACTGAGAGACAGCAGGGGCAGCAGGAAAGCAGAGAAAGGCAGCAGAAAGTCACAGGGAAAAGGCAGTAGGAGCGTGGGAAGCAGGGGGACAGCAGAAAATAACAGGGAAAGGGACAAAAGAAACTGAGAGACAGCAGGGGCAGCAGGAAAGCAGAGAAAGTCGTGGTTCCTGGTTAAATCAATGTGAGGTGATGGCCCAGTCATTACAGGCCATTCAGTAGAGGCCTGTTACCATTGTGTTTCAATCATTCCCAATCACACTCATTCATCGGGGAACCAATTTACATGGGAGGGGTACGTGACTCATACAGTTGCAACATGGGATGCCCAGGCAGAGGACAGAAGATGGAGACTTGACATATAAAATGGAAACTTGACATGACTTTGGTTCACTTACAAACACAGGCCTAGACCATACAATATCCATATGAAACAATAAAAATCAATATGAAAATGATAATAATACAATATAAAATGGTGGATATCCAAAACCAAAAACTTGCTACCAAAATAAAAATGTTTAAAGCTTATCCTACATCTTAGCTTACTTACACTTATCTATAGGGAATAGAGAGGGACAGAAAAAGTCAGAAATGGTTGGGGAAAGGAGGTGGGGAATGCATTTTAAAATAAATACAACAAAAAAAAAAAAGAAAAAGAAAAAACTGGGGGTTTTGCTACACCATTATGCAGGGCTTCTGGGGCCTCTGGCTTTGCCATGTCTGCTGGCTCAGTAGCCTGAGCACTGTCTGGCTCCCCGGACTCAACCTTTTGCTATGGGTTGGGTGTCTTGGCTTCCCCATACACCACCAGGCTCGGTTGGCTACCAGACCCTCCATGCAGTGCCTCCTGCACTGAGCTCCCAGCCTTGTTCTGGGAGTTGAGGACCTGAGCCGCCCAAGTACTCCAAAGATCCTGCTCTGTGCATCAGCCTTTGCACCATGTCTCTGACTGCACGCCATCTGCTGCACGCAGTTTGCAGGATATGGATGTCATGCACCACGCTGCACACTGAAATCCTAGCCGCTGTACCTGTTTGCTGTTCCCTGCTGATGGAAGTCTTCATAGGCACTTTTGGGCTACTGCTTTGCCCAGCTGAGAAGCTCTCCTCAGCTCTTCTAAGCCCCACTCCTCTCTCTTCTCTGTCCCGGGTGCGTTCCCCTCATGCTGGGCATGCAGCTCCTTTTATACTCTCCAGAGCTCTGCCCCTGAAGTCTTCCAGACCTGAGTATTGCAATTTTCAATCAGGTCTGGGGAAGTGTGGGGGGTGGAGATTCTCTCCCCCTCCCCCCAGGAAAGGGGTATGACTTAACTCCTCTTGCTGCCTCCTGATTGGTGGATGGGCTCCACCAATCAAAACAGCAAGATTTTAATCCTGAGGCTCAACCCAAGCTCCAAAAGGCAAGTCTGCTACACTTGCATAAGTAGGTGCATCACAAACATGTCTAGGGAGGTGATACTTTCCCTCTATGCAGTATTGGTTAGGCCGCAGCTAGAGTACTGAGTCCAGTTTTGGGCACCGCACTTCAGGAGGGATGTGGATGGCCTGGAGAGGGTTCAGAGAAGGGCCAGCTGTCTGGTTAAAGGCCTACAGAAAAAACTCTATGTGGACCAATTGGGAGACCTGAACCTGTTCAGCCTCCGCAAGAGGAGGCTGAGAGGTGATTTCGTGGCTGCCTACAAACTCATCAGGGAGGGCCAGCAAGAAATAGGGGATGCAATGTTTACAAGGCGCCTGTCGGGGTAACTAGATATAATGGCCACCAAGTGGAAGAAAGCAAATTCAGATTGGACATCAGGAAAAAATTCTTTACAGTGAGGGTTGTCAGAATATGGAATGTGCTTCCAAGGGAGGTGGTGCTGTCCCTTTCCTTGGAGGTATTTAAAAGGAGATTGGACAGACCCCTGGCTGGGGTCATTTGCCCCCAGCACTCATTCCTGCCCAGGGCAGTGGGTCAGACTCAATGATCTAATAGGTCCCTTCCGACCCTAACATCTATGAAACTATGAATAATTGTTTTTCATTCATCATTAGAAGTAAACTTCTTAGCCTTGTGAAACAGGAGAGAACACATTTTTACACATAGTTAACTCTGGGGGCAGCCTTGGGCTGGCAGGGGCAGAGTCCCTGGAGTGTGTGGCCAGAAAATCATGGATGCCCCTTGTCCTCCCCCGGGCAGCAGTCGCCAGGACACTGTGTCCATGAGTTGCTTGCTGACCACTTTCTCATCCATCCCCACAGTAAGGCACCTGGGCAACTACCCATGGACCCCAGGCCTACAGTGCAACCCCAAGATCATGCACACTATAGATAGTTTGCAACAAACATGATATTTTATTTTCCTACCCCACTCCTTCACAAGAATAGATCCCCTCCTTCCCTTCCTCCCCAGAAACACACCTACTCCTTCCCCAACAGCATATTCCAGCCCTCCCTCTCAAGAACATACCTTTCCCTAACCCCAACACACACCACCGATAAAAGACTGTCATCCTGTGAAACTATGCACAGTGTGTTTTCAACTGGGGAGGGGACAGAGGTGTGGAGGCACCTACAGTGCAGATCATGGGAAATGGCACCTGGCAACCCAGCCGCCACCAACACCATGTTGGGTGTGGTTGTCATGGTGAGCCAGCAGGCTAAGGGCTGGCCCAGGGGCAAGGGCAGGCACAGTTCCATCCTGCTCAGCCTTCTCCCCCTCCTTCTCTATGCGACTGGGGCCAGCAGGGCCCAGGTGGGAAGCTGGCCTAACCATAGCCAGCTCCCACTCAGGGGCTGTATAGTGGTGGGGTGAGCAGTGAGCAGCAGCCCAGGCCACAAGGGTACCAGGATCAGAAGCAGGGGCAGGGGGTCCTGGCAGCTGCAAGCAGTACTGAACCTTGTTCCACACCCACTGGGGCACTTGACACTGGTCTGGCTTCCAGGGGCCAGGCAAGGCCAGAGCTTGGGCCAGGGCCTGGGTGCTGAGTGACATGAATGTGACTACCAGGGACAACACTGTGCCCAGGACTTGCCAGTTATCCTCTATGCCCTCGAGCACCTGGCACACTGTGGCACACTGCTCCTTATGCACCTTCACCAGTGTCTTCAGGAGGGTGAAATATCTCTCCTCAAAGGCCTCTCCTGGAGGGTGACCTGCCTCTCTTGGAGGAGGGCTGGGGGGAAAGCCTCCTCTGCTTGAGGGTGAGGTGCTTCTGGTCCCTCTGCCAGTCCCTCTCCAAGTTCTGGCAGTCCCAGACCCAAAAGTCTGTGAGCTGCTCCTTGGCTATGGTGACCAACTACTCCAGGAGCACTGTTTGGTCCTGCCTCTGATGCTGTTGAAGGCAATGCATGTGGCATGCACCTGCAAATGGTGGTGGTGGCATCCTTGCGGCTCTATCTCTGCTGGCAGCTGGTAGGTCTTCTCTATGTGCAGCTGCAGGTTCTGTGGAGCAAGAACAGAGAAGCTCTTTGTGAGAGTTTGCACCATTTTCAGAGATAACTCCCTCAGTTCAGGTCTTGTGAATGCAGAGTTGCTCAGGATCCATGATAAATTGGCCAGGTGGGCCCTTCCATAGGCAGCCTCTGGCCAACCCTTCCATCCCCACTTCCACAGTGGGGCAGGAAGGCTGCTTAATGCTTGCTGCAGGGAGCCTGCCTTCTCCATAGTCTACCCAGGCCAGGCTGGGGCTGGCCTCTTCTGGCAGCTGCAGCAGCAGCTCTAGATCAACTCCCCACTTCTCCTCCCTACAAGTCAAGCAGTTTGCTCCAGTGCCACTGGACCTGTGGTGCCCAGGTTCTGGTGGTGAGGGGCTCTGACACAGCTGGGACACAGAGATGATAACCTACTCCACCCTCCCCCTAGTGGCCTTGTGAGGGTGCCTTTTGTCTCAGTCCTGTGGATACATCATAATGAACTGCTTGAGTGCACTGTAGGGTGCCTGAACCACTATGCCTTGCTTCTGCTGATTGCCATGGTTCCCCAGATGCAACTGAGAAACTGGTGTGGGGTCCTGAGCTTTGAGGGTGTCCCAGGCAATCCCACAATTTCCCACAATGTGCGTCACCACCTGGAGGGGTATCTCAGCCTACACTATTAGTGCCTGACTTCCATGGCTGGGAGGAGAGTGCTGTTGTCATTGATGAGCGTCTCTGCATGTCATGGGCCCCTGGTTGCTTAGCTGGGAGCCTGCAGGATTGAGAATCAAGTCCTGAACTGCCTCCCACCTCCCTGCATGTTGTTGCAGGGGGGAGGGGTAGCAGGAAAGACTCTGACAGGCAGGGAATAGAACTTGAACAGGAAGAATGGGGAGGGGAGGAGAGGACCTTGAAAAGGGAAAAAGGAAAAGTCCTTTTTCAAATATACAGGGAGGATGAAGAAGGCACTGGGAAATGTGGGGCCCCTACAAGATGCGCTGGGCAATCTGGTGGTTGCACCAGAAGAGAAGGCAAACATCTTTAACAAATTCTTCACCTCCATTTTCCTGTGCAGGGACCGGGACTCCCCACCATGATTCAAGATGGACTTGAGGGGAATGCCTCAAGACCTAAGGTTGAGGAGGACTGGGTTAGAGTGCTTCTGGAGGGGCTGGATGTGTTCAAATCAGCAGATCCAGATGCTCTTCACCCCAGGGTGTTGAGGGAGCTAGCAGGGGTTATTGCAGGGCCCTTGGCACAGCTTTATGAGCACTCGTGGTGCTCGGGCCAGGTGCCAGATGATTGGAAGATAGCCAATGTGGTCCCCTTCTTTAAAAAAGGGAGGAGGGAGGACCCGGACAACTATAGGCCCGTCAGTCTTACCTCAATCCTGGGGAAACTGTTTGAGAAGATCATCAAGGAGCACATCTGTGATGGGCCGGCATCAGAGATGATGCTCAAGGGCAACCAGCATGGTTTCATTAGGGGCAGGTCATGTCAGACCAACCTGATTGCCTTTTACGATCAGGTCACAAAAGAATTGGATACAGGTGTCGCCGTGGATGTAGTCTTTCTGGACTTCAGCAAGGCCTTTGACACTGTCGAC